TAGGCCTGGGCGGGGACCAGAGCCAGTGATCAGGGGGATATGGGGGTCCCCTGTCCAAGCCTGACACCTCTGGCGGAGGCGTCAGGCCTGGGCAAGGGGCCGATCAGGTGATTGGAGGGTGATGGGGGTCAACTCCTGAGGGATCCCAGTATGTGAGAGGGGGCAGGCTGGGCTGAGGGACACTCCCCCCACACACACACCAAGTGCACGAATTTCGTGCACCGGGCTCCTAGTAAGTATATAAATGCATTTAGAAACCCTGAAGGTCTAAGCTTTCCTCTAACAAATGTGAGTATGCTTACTTACACATAAAAAGAGATACTGGTATGTGGTATGAATCCTAACCTCTCCTACTAATCCAAGACTCCAATCCTCCTGTTCCTCAGTCTCTCTCTGTCTTCTGGATTGTTCTTGTCAACAAACATGCTTTGGTAAATCCTGTCATAAAAAGCAAAATAGCTAAACAGTCTTTCCATTGACCACTCTTCCCTAGCCCCGTCTCTGTCTCCTGCAGTTGTAGACCATATCTCCCATTTTCATATGGGAAAAACCAACTTAATAGTTGCCCCTTCCAAATTCCTCCCAAATTCCTCCATTCATTCTTTAGCCCATCTAAGTGTGAGTTTCTTCCCTTCTGTGATGTATTTGAACTTATTATCATGGACATAACGAGTCTTTCTTGTCTGAGTAAATATTACCTCCATTTACTTAGTTGTTCCAGCATAAACAACTCGTGCATTCTTGATTCCCCATCTCTTCTTACATCCAAACAGTCTGGCAATCCTGACAGTTTTACCTCCAAAACTATAACCTAAATCAATTTACTACTCCCAATTTCCACTCCTACCTCCCTAGGCTCTTGCCACCCTCACTTCTCATATGAGCTAATGTAATAGTTTTTTCATGCTAGTCTCCTTCCTTCTATTCTGGTTTCCTTAGAATCCCATCTTGTACACAGAAGCCAGAGTGACAATTTTAAATTAAAATGAGGTCATATTACTTAAATCACTTAGTAACTTTTTATGGTACTTAAAATAAAATCCAAACTATTTACTCAGATATAATGCCTTTTATCGTCTGGCTATTACTCACTTCTTCAACTTTATCTCAAACATTTTTTCTTAACACACTTTGCTCTAATTATCATACCTAGACGACATTAAGACTTAGCATTTGCTATTTTCTATGTCTGAAATATCCCAGTTTTTCTCTTGGCTAACTCAAGATCACTTTTTCAGACAGGCAGTCTTTAATCATTCTTTCTAAAATAAGTCCCTCTCCTTCCATTATTCTTTACTGTAATATCCTGTTCGTCCCTCTTAGCATTTATCATGTGCTATAATTATTTTTATGTTTGTTTATTTATTTCCTTTCTCTCTTATTAAATTGTCAACTCCACAAAGACCAGGGTCTTAACTGCCTTGTTTAACAGTGTATTTCCAGTGTCTAACATACTGGTGCACAGTGGGCACCAATAGATATTTCTTAGATAGAGAAATTATAAGACAAAATAAATTTTTCCTCCTCAAATGATTCTGATTTGATGTTCAGTGCTAACTTGATTCTAAAAGAAATTTTATAACTCTTCTTTGTGTTTAATTGTATTGTTAGTTTTCTTTTTCCCATGAATTCCCAGCAGCTTGAGGGCTGCTATACTTTGCAAATGGGGAAAAGAACTGAGTTTCTTAGAATTAAAAGATTTACGTTTCTTTACCTTTTGTGATTCTTTAGATTGTTTAATATTTATTCAGATTAAGTATACATAGAGAGAAGGCTGATGTTCTAACACTTTAATGTGGTTGTTCAATTCACATAGTAACCTTGAAATGACAATTATGACCCCTTCTTTTTTTAAATGAGGAAGATAAACCAGAAAATAGTTGAATATCCTATCAGGACCAAAGTGAGCTGAACCTGATTCTTATGACTTAAAAATCTAAGAATCCCTTTTTGCTATACTGCCTAGCTTTTGAAAACCGATACATAGAAATTATATTGTAATAATTGATATAATAATTTAGTCAGAAGACATTTAAACAATAATATTCTAGTAATAATGTTGATGTGAGTAATCTGAAAGTCATTTAGGTCTTTTCATCAAGATATCTTAATTTATTAGTAAATTTTTAAAATAATGATACTCATCAATAGATTTAACATCTAAATGAATATAGTATAACTATAATAAACTATTATGTTAAGCAAAAATATTTACAGAACAGTTTGACACTAATTATATAGGGAAAAATGTATATTTGAAGAAGTTTGCTATATACCAAATTATAATTGTGGATATGAGTGATTTTCTTTACTATTACTATTTTTTTTCTATTTTTATGCATTGCCTAAGATTTATAATGAATATTTATTGCTAAAAAATTTCCTCCTTCCTGATTTTACTCATCAGAGGTAAGTTTCTTTTTTTATGCTACCAGACTTAAGCAAACATATGCATACAGAATTTTTAATGCAAAAGTAAGATCATATAGTATATTGAGTTCTGCTAAAATATGTTTTCAGGTTAATGGTATATCATGAACATCTTTCCCAAGTCTGAACATATGATCAACGTATTTCTTACCTATTGGTGAACATTTCAATAATTTAGATATTTTGCTAGTTTTGTACTTTTATTTTTAATCCATATTGTATTTTTTAAAATTGACTTCAGAGAGAAAGGGAGAGGGAGAGGAGATAGAAACATCAATGATGAGAGTGTCATCAATTGGCTGCCTCCTGCATATCCCCTACTGGAGATCAAGCCCAAATCCAGGCATGTGCCCTGACCAGGAATCGAACCATGATCTTCTGGTTGATGCTCAGCCACCGAGCTACACCAGCTGATATTGGCTTTATTTTTGTCTACTATTTCATAATGTAAAAATCACTACTTTCATAAATAAATACTTATATACAAATGCTTATAGCAACACTACTCACAATAGCCAAAAATTGAAAACAGCCAAAATGTCTATCAACAGATAAATGGATAAATAAAATATGAGATATATATATATGTATACAATGGAATATTACTCAGCCATAAAGAGAACTGAAGTACTAACACATGCTAAAAATATGGATCAATCTCAAAAACATTATGCTAAGTGAAAAAGCCAGATACGAAGGACACATATTGAATAACTCCATGTATATGAAATGCCCAGAGTAAATAAATCCATAGAAACGAAAAGTACATTAGTGGTTGCAAGGGCTGGGAGGAAGAAGGAATGTGACTACTTTATGGGTATGGGGTTTCTTTTGGGGTGATGAGATTGTTTTGGAACTAGATACAGGTGGTGGTTGTACAACATTGTGAATGTACTAGAGGCCACTGAATTGTACACTTTAAAATGGTTAATTTTAAGTTATGTGAGTTTCATAACAATTTTTAAAAACAAAAAAAAACCAGTGTTTGGGTTTTTTTTACTTCAATGTAAACAATACTTTTTTAAAATTCATTTTTGTATCTTCTTTGACCCTGATCAATTTTTGTATTATTCTGTCTATGCTAGAGTTTCACATGGCCTGCTATGTAATTGTATTAGGCCTACATAATTAGCACTTTTTAAAATTTATGTTCCCAAGGTGCAGTGTTTATTTTAGCTAAAGTTTCTATTCAGTTAATGATCTGCACAGTGTATAATATTATATCTCTGTAATTTCTTATTGACACATTTTAGTTTACCTTTTTCCTCCAGGTGATTAGTTTATAAATGATAAGATCTACTTCATTCATTCATTCTGCAAAACTGATTAACTGCTCTGCCAGACAATGTTTTAGGAGCTTAGAGATTCAGTGAGGAACAAAGTTAAACTCCTGCCTTCTAGGGGCTTATGTTTCATCATGGATAGAGAGAGACACACAAATAAGTTTAAAAATAAATGAACACAATTTTTGAGAATGGTAACTGCTACAGAAAAAAAATAAAAACAAGATGATGTATTCGACTAATTAGAGTGATGGCTGAGAGCAGTGTGTTCAATTTATTGAAGTCCCAAAAAAGAGCAGAGAAACTAGTAAGTAATGGGCCTCATGGACTATGGACAGACTGTAGGAGTGGATTGTGTGAGTACTCCTGAGTAAATAAAGGGGAAACCAAACATTGCACTGCTATGAAAGTCATCTAAAGACTCCCGCTTTCCAATTTAGAATTCAGGAAGGCTCAGGCTCTTTTTGTGGTAGGAAATCCATATGCTGGACTTTGCCTTAGCTGGCTACCCCAGTTAGCATAAGGTTTAACCTACTCCAGGTGCCTTCCTCTTAGGTCAAAGTACACATCAGGGTAGCCTAGGTCTTGATCTCCAGGTGAGAACAGCTGAGTAAGTAGCAT